TTTACAAAACTCACTCAGTATACTTATAGGGAAGAATTTTATTATTCACCTTTGGACTTTTGGCCATTAAAGTTCCGCCTAATTCCACCAAACTCGCCAAACAAGCTCAATCCACTCGCAAGAGTCTCACGATTCTTACGAGCTGGGGGGCTAACTGTTGGGGTCAAAATCGGTACGACGGAATTAATAGCCAAAACTCCCCGCGAAAATACAAAAAGAACAGTTTTATAAAACCCGAAGAATAGTTTTATAAAACTCGAAAAATCGTTTTGTAAAATTCGAGAATCGTTTTATAAGACTCGAGAATCGTTTTATAAAACTCGAGAAATCGTTTTATAAAACTCGAGAAATCGTTTTATAAAACTCGAGAAATCGTTTTATAAAGCTCGAGAATCATTTTATAAAAACTTGAGAAATCGTTTTATAAAAGCTCGGAAATCATTTTATAAAACTCGAAAGATCGTTTTATAAAACTCGAAGATCGTTTTATAAAACTCGAGAAATCGTTTTATAAAACTCGAGAAAACCGTTCTATAAAACTCGAGAAAATCGTTTTATAAAACTCGAGAATCGTTTTATAAAACTCGAGAATCGTTTTATAAAACTCGAGAAATCGTTTTATAAAACTCGAAGATCGTTTTATAAAACTCGAAAGATCGTTTTATAAAACTCGAAGATTGTTTTATAAAATTCGAAGGTCGTTTTATAAAATCCGAAGATCGTTTTATAAAACTCGAGAATCGTTTTACAAAAACGCAAAAAACTGAAAAAGCCTTAAAATGCGAACTAGTCGCAACTAGTTCGCCCATCGGCGAACTAAGCCGGGCCTGGCTTAGTTCGCCGATGGGAGAACTAAGAGACACTCTCTAGTTCGCCCATCGGCGAACTAAGCCGGCCCGGCTTGGTTCGCCGATGGGCGAACTAGGAAGTGATCAACTAGTTCGCCCATCGGCGAACTAATCCGGCCCGGCTTAGTTCGCCGATGGGCGAACTAGGACATGCCCGACTAGTTCGCCGATGGGCGAACTAGAGACGTCCCGGACACTCCGTGTCTCGATTTCCCGCATTCCCGATTTGAAACTTACGTTTTTCGAAAAGGTCGCGTTCTAAACCACGGCCGAAATATCTCCCGTTCCATCTCGATCCGACTTACCGTTCGAGTTTTACGATAAAAAACTGTAAAACTTCGTTTTCTCGGAAAGAACTCGAGGAAATCGTATAAAACGGCAACGGTTAAACGAAACACCGAACATTGCCTAAACTATACGATTTATTCGAGATTTCTCGTTGAAATCATAAAAAAACGCGCTTTTAATAAAAAACGCCGAGTAAGTCGTAAAAAACGTGTTTTTTAATAAAAAGTCGAGTAAACCGTAAAACTTTGCGATTAACTAGAGAAATTTATTAAAAAAACGACGTCAGATCAGGAAACGATCCCGTAAAAAGTCGGAAAACGGTTTTTATCGCAAAACGGCCCGGAAGGACCTAAAACGCGATAAAAACCCATCTCGCGATTTCAACGGAATCTAACCCGCAGATTTGATAACGTTTTGACGGTTTACTCGCAGAAGGAAAATAAAAGTCAAGTTTAAAGATAAAAGGAAGGTTTGAAGAGAAATAGAAGATTTCCGCGGAAGAAAAGGAAGGATCGAGAAGAATGGAAAATTCCCGATTTAGTCAAATCTGGGCGAAATGGAAAGATCGGATAGCCAAGACAAGGAGTATATAAAGAGGAGGTCTAGGGCAGAAGCACAGACACGAAATTCAGAGCTCTCACCACCAAAACTAGCATTTAGGAATATTTCAGTTTTTCTGTTAGCGAGCTGCGTCTCAATTAGGGTTTTCGTTCTTAAGCTTTTCGGCTACTCTTTTGTACCAGCTCTACGCAGATTCGGAATAAGAACCTCTTTGCTCTCTATTTCGTTTATTTTCATTCAAATTCTAAGTTATCGTTTTCTTATTTTTCGTTGTGCGGTTCTCGCAGATAGCCGGTTCCTCTGGAAACTTAGGGTTTTCCCGAAGTTTCCTTTTTTACGATTTATTTGACAGTAGGGTGAAATCGACTCCCACATATCTTATAACCCCCATAATATGGATTTGCTTTCAGTAATGTCATGGATTTACGTAGTGTCTAATTGATATGTTTATGAAGCCAAGTATTAACCCTTTTAGGTGTGTGTGTGGTTTTGGCTCAGTTTGATCCCATTTGAGTCTTAAAGACCTGAAAAAGATTTCATCACATTGCATGTTTTCTTGGCTTTGGAATGAGACGAAGTGCACCAATATATTATTCGCGGGTTAAACATTTGGGTGTGTAACGAAGGTGAACCATTTTGGACCAAATTACTGAAGAAAGATTTAGACAAAAACGAATTAGATAAAAAAAAAATGTAAACTTTATATCACATTTACAGTCTGATTTTGACTTAACTCATTGACTTATCTCATTTTAATTTTAAGAGAACAAAAAAACTATAATCATATTATCTTGTGTTATAGCAAGTAGAATCTAACACAACTATAAATAGCTACGTATAGTTTACACTGAAAATTACTCTTCACAAACCTTAAGACGTTGAATATATTTGACATCATAAAATAATATTACAACCTATACTTAATTTTTTAATTGAAAAACTAAACGTTTACAACTATAATAAAATTCAAATAACATTTAAAATAAAACATATATTATTTAAATTATACATTAAAAATTATGTGTGTAACATGGATTAAAAATCTCCTCATAAATTAAAGATAACTTACTCCAAATAAACTAAATATATAAATTAAATATATATTTTTACTAATCATTATTTTGTCAACAAAAATAATCCCGCGCTTTAGGTGGGATAGACTTACGAGTTTGCTTCCCAACTAAGCAGGCGCTGCACACATCTTTCTCGTGTATCACTTGAGGCATCCCTACTACCATCTCCTTGTCTACCATATTCTTCATGACTCCAAAGTTCACATGTCTGAACCGCGCATGCCACATCCATGTAACATCGTTTTCTTGTATTTGAAGACACTTCGAATATTCAATCTTCGTTGGTGTCTTGTACAATCATTTTGGTGACCTCGAGACTTGTACTAATAGCCTTCCATAGGGATCACTTAGCATTAGCAAATCTCCTTTCATGTTAACCTTACAACCCTTCTCGGTTGCTTGTCCAAGACTTATGATGTTGTGTTTAAGACTAGGAATGTAGTAGATATCTTTGAGTACTCTTCTCTCCCCTGTTTTTTTGATGAACGTGATTGAACCTTTCCCAACAATCTCGACGTTTGATCCTTCACCAAATCTGACTTTTCCTTTGATGCGCTCATCTAGGTTTGAGAAGAACTCTCTCTTGCCTGTCATATGGTTACTTGCACCATTGCCAAGATACCATATACTCGTGTTTCCATCACATTCGTCAAACCTTTTAGGAAACACTCTATCTTTGTTGAGGAATACTACTTCATGCATATATGATGCATCTGCTTCTTGTGTTTCCGTTAGGTTTGTTTCTTCTCTTGGTCGTGTAGGACACTGTGATACGAAGTGTCCCAGCTTGTCGCATCGCCAGAATTTAACCTTAGAGTAGTCCTTCTTGGTCTTGTTTGAAGCTTCTCCTCCTTTGTTATGACCATCAGAACCATTAGACCTTCCACGTCCTCTTCCTCTTCCACCATAACCCCTATCTATGCCTCTTCCTCGCGAGTTGTTATGGCTTCCACGACCTTGTGTATTATTCTTCACAAACATTAGCTTCGTTTGATTTTCATCTTGGGTTTCTTGTTTGATGCGCTCTTCGAAAGTCTTTATTCTCCCAACAACATCTTCAAAGCTTGCTGAATTTAGATCAAGTAGTTGTTCTAGAGAAACTACGATGTGTATGAACTTGTTTGTAGGAAGTCCATCTAAAAACTTCTTTACCAGCCTTGGTACATCCATGATTTTACCCAATGCGGCTGACTCTGATGCTACACCCGATAGTTTTCCTGCATAATCATCCACCGTGTCTGCATCTGTCATCTTCAGTTTATCGAACTCAGACATCAAGGTCTGTAACCTCGCTTCTCTCACGCGATCAGCACCTAGGTTACGTGATTTGATAGCATCCCAAATCGTCTTTGATGTATCGTATTCTCCAATTTGAAGAATCAACGCTTCTGGAATCGACTGAAAGATTAGAGCAATCGCAGCATTGTTCTTCTTCAAATCGATGTTCCCTTGTTCGATAGTATCCCAAACTTCATATAAACGAAGCAACACCTTCATCCTTATCGACCAAACGGTGTAGTTGGTCGATGTTAGCATCAGACATTTTATGTCCTTCTTCATCTCAAGACCTTTATCACGTACTTGAGAAGCGACATCGTCTCCCATGTTTTGATCGAAGTACAACTCCTCTTGTAAACGATTTCGAAACCTGGAGGCTCTGATACCAATTAAAGTTTAGATCAAAGCTTCAACTCAAACTCTAATACCAATTAAAGATTAGATCAAAGCTTCAACTCAAGCTCTAATACCAATTAAATTCGCACAAACACACAAGAATATAAGAACTAGCACTTCTTATTAGATTTAGAAACTCTCTCAAAACTAAATCAATGTGTTTCACTTTCTCTTGATCTACTCTCTTAGATCTCTTTTCTTAGATCTCTCTGCTCTTAGATCTCTTAAGGGATGCAACATCTCTACAACTCCTTATATAGGTCGAAGCTACATCTTAACCTAATAATAATATGGAAACATTTCTAACCTCGATACGTTTTCCTTTTTCCTTAACTTACTAAACTCCTATTTAATAAGTTAACTTTCTCCTTAAGTTAATTAGAATTATCCAACAATATGGACTTCAGAAAGACGACAATGCTATATTTGAAGCCTCTAATCAGTAAAATCAAACTTGTATTGGCTATAGAGAATACTATTAGATAAGATATCTCATGGTGTGATGGCTGCTTTATTTATGCATTACTAATGTTTGACTTAGAGAGAACCTCATGGTCATAGCAGCTACTTGGCATCACTTGGTTCATTTAAAAAAAAAAAAAAAAACAAAGCTTACTAGTTATCACAATATATTGTTTTAGAAGCTACTGAGCAAAACCTAATTTGCTCAGACTGTTGAGAAGGAGAGAGACATGCAACACTCATGGCTGCTTCTTGGAGTGTCTCTGGGCAAAGTTCCTTAGCCTGGAAAAGCCTTCTATGAGGAGGTCGAGCTCAACAGCAAAGGTGATACGTAGCCAGTTCTTGAGTCCAACAGCTCGACCTGCAAGAATCTCATTGCCTATCTTAACTGCCATAAGTTTCAACAAAGCTCGTTAACAAGGCTATAATAATTTACCTGGTAGGATGATCAACGATTCCTCTTTAGCCAGCTTGCAGCAGAAGTCCAAATCATCACTGATATCTTCGAGCAGCGAGAGGTTTAACTTCACCTGCACCAATAAACAAATGGATTAGCCTCTGAGACTGATGAGTAAACCTGATTGCCTCGTTTCTTTACCATCGTGAACATTGACCCCTCGGGTTTGGTAGGGCAAGTGAAGCAAGGGATCTTCAAAACCTCTTCATAACAAATCTCTGCACATTCTCTCAGCTTTTGGAGTTTCGATGAGAAGAATTCTTCTTTCGTATTCTCAAGGATATCAGGAATGGCACCCTGGATCAGATGGAAAAAAAAAAAAAAAATCATGTTTCCTAACCGACATATGTGTTATGAGGGCACGAACATAAACCATTTGAATGGGGCTCGCAGTGTAACATAAGAGTCAGTTTAAGAAAGCCAAGTTAAAAAAAAAAAACAAAAAAAAAACATAAGAGTCAGTTGTATATATTCTGATTAGTTATTTAAAAAATACTAAATGTAGAATATCTATACTATTATTTGCGAAGTGATTTTTCGCAACAGAGTTAAAAGTTAAAGTGGTTAATATCATTTACATCCTTAATGAATAAAATATATAAATTAGACATAAAATAAAAACGAAATTGATATTTATTTGATTAGATAAATGGTTTAAATTAATAATAATGATAAGAATTATCCATAATCTAAATATATATACAAAAAAGAAGATAATTTCTATATATATTGTGTTGTTATCCGGAAAATATATTTTAATAAAAAATCAAAAAAAGAAAACACATAAATAAATACTCATAAAGAAACTTTTTAATTGTACATAATTGAAAAGAGAAAATTGAAAATTTTATAATATGTAATCATTTTCTAATTAAAAGAATATAACAATATAACATTTTGTGAAGTAATTTTTCGCCTCTGAAATCACATGTTAAATTAAATTTATTTTATGCTTTATATAGTATAACATTAAACATGAATTAATCATAATAAAATAAAAGATCATTCAAAAAGAAAAAAATACATTGTTGACAAAATAAATTCAAATATATTGTATTATTATCCAAACTAATATTATTCTTTCTGTAAGATCAATTTTTGAATGTATATTTATTGATTCAATTTATCAAATTGAAAGATAAGTTTCTATATTTTTTTTTCAATTGAGAAGAAACGAAACAGATTTTAGATTTTGTTTTCAAAGTTTTAAAGGGCAAAAAAAGTTTTTTTTTTAATTTATGAATAATTTTATCATGTAAAAACGTTTAATGTTTTAGGTCTAATTTTTTGGATGAAAATAATCATTTATTTTGATAATTTTTTAAATTGTCTTAAAAATAATTATGTCCGCATGTGTGGGCAAAACACCTAGTTAAGAATAAATAACAAAAAATGTATGTTCGTAGAGATCTTAGTAAAATATTAGATGGATTTCATATTATTATGATTTATTTATAAAATAAGTTTAATAATTAGATTTAGATTAATTAATACTATTACAATGTTATTATACTTTTAAAATATAAATCTGTTTAAATTTGAATTACAGATTATATGGTTTTTATTTTTAGTATTTAAATAATATTTTTATTAAAAATTCATAAGAATAATTTTCTGTAATTAATTTTTATTTCGAATAGGGATCGGAAATAACCGGCTATGGTTACAGCTTCCCATTATACAACACCAATATACCTGAATGAACGTTACAGCATCCGTGGTAATGTTGATGACGTTGGTAAGAGACTGAACAAACTAAATATATATATAAAGAAGCAGAGAGGTTAAATCACAGATACTTTCTTAATTGAGAAACCAAAAATGTAAAATCAATTAGCTAAGCAAACAAACCCCAGAATCTTTCATGATGCTGTGAGGGTCAAGAGTCACCATCCAGCCAAGTCTCCAGCCAGGAACAAACCATCTTTTCGATATGGAGCCTAGCAAAACTACAGGCACTATCTCTGCAAACTCTGCCAAGGACACAAATGGTTTCTCCCCGAATGCATAGTGGTCATAAACTTCGTCGGCGATCAAAAGTATTCCAAGCTTGCAAGCTGTCTCTGCAATCTTCATCACCACAATACAAAGACGACAAGGACATTTACCAAAAAAAAAAGAAAGAAAAAAAAAAACGAAAAGTAGGAAGTAAAGTGCACACCTTTTGAAGATGTTGGCGAGAGAAAACGTTTCCACAAGGATTGCAAGGGTTGACAACAACTATAGCTACAGTTTTGTCGTCTGCAAGAGCTTCAACAGCATCGAGATCAACATCCCAACCATTTTCTGGTAGGAGGTCGAAATAACGGACCTCTAGCTGGCTGAAAGATGCTCTGGAATCATACATGGGGTAAATGGGCCTAGGCAGCAAAATGTTGGCACCAGGATTTGCGAGTGCGGAGATCAATATCTCAATTGCTTGCACACAACCCGCAGTAATATGAACATCATCTGGAGATATCTGGTAAGGTAGATCGCGAGAGAGGTACTCTGCAACAGCTCTATTTGAAGGGGGGTAAAAGAGAAAAACAAAGTCATCAAGATTTGGATTCAGACAAGAACAGACTCTTAAGACATATACCCACCGATGAGGCAATGATGATATGACGCCCAACAAAACACAAAGTAATCAACCTTGTCTGAATATGAATAAAGGTCATAATCACAGCATGCCAGGTTGTCAGTGATTAAAACAAATAACTGTTTCACTAAATTTTGCAAAAACTAATTAGCTGAATGTGTTGGATTTAATAGGTGGGGGTGAAGCTAGTTTTGTAATAGTTTGACTTTGGAAATTTTGTTCAAAACGGGTTTGGAACAAGATCTATTTCCGGATCAGTATATATATGTGTTCAAAAAAACTGTTTCGCATTATTGCCTTTTAAGGTCAAGCAAAACATAGCTTTGTGTATACCCTTAAGATTCCCAGAAAAAAAGACAGAGCACGAAAGCAAAAGAAGAAGTAATCTTACTTCCTAGCGACAGGAATACCGGAAGCAGAAGCGTATTTATTAAACTTGGTGGAGCGAACAGCATCGCAGATGGCTTCAACGGCTGATGGATCAGTACTGAAACTCGGGAACGGAGAAGGGTCGCCATGTCCAAGTGCGATGACGGGTCTGGCGTCACCTTCGTCGAGATTACTGATTAAAGTATAAAGATATTCACGAATGCTTTGGGAACTAGAACGTTCGACCACCTCGTTGGCTCCAAAGTTCCATCGCTTGGCTCTGATTTCTCCCATTTTTTTTTGTCAAGAGACGTAAGTCACGTAACACACAGTGACACAGAAACTGGAGCTAACGTTATGTATTTTTGTTTGCGTTTTTTTTTTCTTTTTTCTTTTTGACAGCTTGTATTTTTGTTGGTGTTATGTGACTGGGATTTTGTAGTGGAAGAGTGGGCCAGGTAAAAGATTCACTTCCCAAAATATCTAATCCATGGAATACAAGTGGGGAGTTTTGCAAATATGATCCAAACAAAAATATATATACATAAAATAATTGATGATTTTTATTGAAACTTTTCATTTTAGAAGTTCAAATTATTCACTAAAATTTTTTTTTTCTTTTCCGAAAGAGATTGTTTTACTCAATCATTCTCATATTTGTTTTTTTTTATATTTACAATACTATCATTGTTTCAACACACCAACCACCATAAATAACTAATTTCAAGTTCTAAGTACACTTAAAATAAATATCTACATCTATAAATTAATATTTCTTACACATATAAACTATTTCTTTTTCACTTCCTCTCTAATTTCATCTTAAAATCTCAATTTTTTTTATTTCAAATTTTATAAACTTACAAAAATTATTCAAATTCATGATACTTGGTTAATAATGAATGAGTAACTTTATTAAGAAGTTATATGTGATTAGAAAAACTAAACATGAACCTTACTGAATCTAAAAATGGTTTTTGTTTTTTCCAGATCTACTTCACAAAGAAGATTTCTAGGAAAGTCTTCTCCACCAAGAGACTTCTACGAAAGTCTTATGGTCAATGCATATATTAGTTTTACAATTAAATTTATGTGTCGTTTTTAAAGAAGACTTTTCTTAAAGTCTTTCAATTGGAGATATCTGGTAAGACAGATCGCGAGAGAGGTACTCGACATCACACTACAAGAAAACATGTCCTTAACGACTACAATTATAGTAGCTAGTTGGTCGTAGCTGTTCCGCTCACGTCCTTGCGGTTTATATCATGGCTTTTTACAAAATTTACATTTTAACAATTCTGCATTGTTTCCCTAGTATATCATACACTTGTCTATACACACATCAATCATCTCTGAATGTAAGTTAAGACTATGCACCAGTTTCTGAATTTCATAATAAGATTTCAGTACACAAATTATCTTCAGGTAAATACTCTTTAAACAACTCAGCTCATGCATCCATACAACTTCAAGTAAGCTATGATCAGTTTTGATATTCATCATCCTAGCTGCCAATGATAATTTAGAAAGACCTTCTCTACCACTTTCATAAATTGGCTGATTAGCTGCTGCTAGCATTTCATAAAATCTTTTTGCATCCAAGTTAGGCCGCTCTAATTTTATACCTCCTCTATTACTGATGTTTCACGAAATGCATTTGTAACCATATCATGCATCCTATCATGATCTACCATATGATTCTCTTGAAGGTAACTTTCAGAAGGCAAATGTGGTTCTTCTCAACATGATTACTACTACTAGCTTCATTCCTATTATCACCCTCTTCGTGGTTAAACCAAATAAAGTAATGTGGAGTAAATCTGTTATTTACTATACGTTTCCAAACTGTTTCACTAGCAGAAAACTTCGTATTGTTGCATTTACGACATGGACTGAACATTTTACTCATTTTCTGTGTGAGAGACATATGTCCGGTCTGATACATGAATATCTCTGTTCCGTTGAGAAATTCGTTTGTTACTCTTCCCCTTGAATCTTTATGCGCATACATTCAACACTGAAGCTCGTAGATATTTTCAGACATTTTTTTTACTTTTTTCGTTTTTTGTGCATCTTAAGAATGAGGGAGAAGATCATATTTATAGGAAAATTTTGGTTTTGGTAGGTAACAATGTTACAACGAATTTACGTTTGATCATAACTAAACTATCAATGTACAATTGCTTCTCTCGTAAGTTGGTCGTTGATCAGATGCTAACTATTCGATGTAAGTTAGTCGTAATATTACGACTACGTCTAATGGTAAATATAGTCATAAATGAGATGTAATTTTACATCTCCATTACGACTAATTGTTTTAGTAAAAAATTACGTTCAACTTACGACGAACTCTACAAGAGTCGTACATTAGACGTAAAGTCGATTTTAATTTACGACTACACATTTGTAGTCATAAAGTGTGGCCGTTACTCCTGTGTTCTCTTGTAGTGTTAGCTCTATTTGAAAGGGGAGCCAAAGAGAACACAAAATCAACGAGATTTGAATTCAGACAAGAAAGAACTCTACCCGCCTAACAAAACACAAAGTAATCAACTTTGTATGAATATGAATCTATCTATGCATACTTTTATTCGAGAACTGATTTTGCTTCTTTATCATGTTTTCTATGATTTTAAGTAATTTTGATGATTTGCTATGTTCTTTATAATTTTAGTTACTTTTGATTATTTGTCATGTTCTCCATGATTTTAAATAATGATTATTTGTCATTTTCTTAGTAGTTTTCAATATTTTGATTATTAATCATATTCTCCATAATTTTAGCTAATTTCGCCTATTTTTCAAAAATAAACAAAATAATTATTTATAAAAAAACATTATCAAAAGAAAAAGGAAATACATGATGATCTTAATATTTTGTTAGAATATGGTAATAATTCATACACATAATTAAAATAAATATATTCAAATATGACGTTAAATAATATAATAATACAAATATAAGTATTTTAACATTTTCGAAATATTACTAAAGTCTATTTTGATAATCATAAGTGTTATTACTAAACAAGATTTTTTCAAAATTTAGAAAATCTTTTTAAAAATAATAAAGTTTAAATCATAATACCATTTGTTTTTTCTTATATCTACATATTTTTAGAAATTATGTTAAGTTTTAATTTTTGATGATATTTTTATATCAGTTTTTAATTTTATACAAGTTACTATAATATTCCTTAAACAATAAATAAAAATCTATCGAAGACTATAATTTTAACTATATATATATTCTTAAATGTAATTTAAAAATAAATCAAATTGCTTATCTTAATTTTATGTTTAACTAAATTAATATTTTATATTAAAATATTTGTATAAAATAATAAAATCTAAATACTGAAAAATTCTTTTATGTGTAAATATTAGATAATTTTAAATTTTTAATCGATTTACATGGTGTAGGAAAACAATTGTCTGAATATAAATAAAATATTATAATCACATCATCCCAAATTTTCAATGATTTAAACAATTAACTATTTTAATAAATTTTTAAAATGGACTATCGGAATGTATTGGGTTTAGTGAGTGGACGAAAAGATTTTTTTGTAATAATCTAACATTTGGAAATTTTGTTAAAAAGGAGTTTGTAACAGGATCTGATTTTTGGATTGTTCATGTTGATATATGTATATATATATATATATATATATATATATATATATATATATATATATGCGTTTGTGTGTTTTTCTTAAAAAACTGGATTGTTCTTAGAAAAAAAAAAATATATATATATATATATATATATATATATATATATATATATATATATATATATATATATATATATATATATATATATATATATGTGTGTGTTTTTCTTAAAAAACTGTTTCACAAGATTTGTCTTTTAAGGACAAGTAAAACATAGCTTTGGATTCAGAGAAGAAAACACCTTTAAGGTTCCTAGACAAGAAAAAAACAGAGCACGAAAGCAAAAGAAGAAGAAGTAATCTTACTTCCTAGCGACAGGAATACCGGAAGCAGAAGCGTATTTATTAAACTTGGTGGAGCGCACAGCATCGCAGATGGCTTCAACGGCTGATGGATCAGTACTGAAGCTTGGGAAAGGAGAAGGGTCGCCATGTCCGAGGGCGATGACGGGTCTGACGTCACCTTCGTCGAGGTTACTGACTAAGGTGTGAAGATATTCACGTATGCTTAGGGAACTAGAACGTTCGACCACCTTGTTGGCTCCGATGTTCCATCGCTTGGCTCCGATTTCATCCATATTTTTGGCCAGAGACGTAACACACAGAAACTGAAGCTAACTTTTTTGTATTTTTTGTTTGTATTATGTTATGTGAATGGGATTTGTAGTTCCAGAGATAGGCCTTCAAGGTAGGGAAAGATTCCGTAAGATTCCCTTTCCAAAATATCTAATCCATATATAGAATCCATAGAATCTCTTATATATTAAAAAAGAACCATTATCATTTAATGTGTTCACATTACGTTAGCCACGTATCAGTCTTACAGTAATTTCAGAACGAGTGCTAACATATCACGTGTAGAGAACTTCTCAGTTAATTATTACATAAATGTGTTCACATTATATATTATTTTACATTTTTTTCAATAAAAAGCTTACAAGGTTTTACGAATTATATAAAAATTATACATAGAAAGAAAATTTACAATAAAATTCACTATTGTCTAGGCTTATTTATTTTTACTTAATTTATGTTAATATAATATTATATTTCATGTGTTATTTTACATATACATACATGTAAGAGTGGGCAGAAATTGGATATCCGAGGTTTTGGAGGTATTCATGATCCAATATGTTTCATCTGAATAATCAATTATCCATTCGATTTGATTCGTAACCATCCAGATACACAGTGTCCCAAAAATTATATTTTAATCGGTTTTGATCCATAAAAATAAATACAGAAATTTAAAATAAATAAAAAATCTAAAATAATAAAATTTTGTTACGAAAAAAAACTTATTTACTTTTGAATACTAATACCTAATTTGATAACTTTAGTGAATACAAATATTGTTAAACTTATAGAAAATATATTGTTTATATAAATTATATATAATTCATTAAATATCTGTATATACATAAGCATAAAAGAGATCGGATCAAATATAGTATTTGTGATTTGTTTCGTTTCTACGAATATTGCATATTAGTATTTGCTTTTCTGCATAGAGTTACGGATATCCATATTTTTTTGTTCGAATCGAAAAGGATGATGAGTCAAATCAAAATTTACGGATATTTTGTCCAATCCTACATACACGTGAACATTGACGTGAACACATATATAACTAAA